GATTTAATGTTTCCAAAGAACGTTCGTTTCCGAACGAAGTTTCGAGCGCAAAAAAAAAAAAAAAAAAAGAAAAAAAAAAGGGAACAACACGAAACGTTAATATTAAAATGGATTTGAAACATCGAGTTCCACGTAGACCGTTCGGGGGAAAAAACTGGATCGAGGAAAGATCGTGGACAAAAGTGGAATATATTCAATTCATTTTAAACGAGCGAGGCTGAGAGAGAAGGGAAGTTTCACAATTCTAGTTCTACGATATACACGTATAATTTTATACGGAAACATGCATCGCAAGTATGACGATTTCATGATGCGAGCTTTGTCTCGCAAGTTTGCACTGTTCGCGGTAACCTGAGAGTTGCGGCAATGAAGATTACCCGGTATAATTGAAATTGGTTATGTCTGGACTTGTAAGGAATACTTGTTAAAGGTGGGATTCATCTATTCAAACGTTTACGGGAATAATGGTAGAATAGTAACCGAAACTGTTAACGTTTAACATTCGTAGTATTATTCATAGAATTATTCGTATCTCGATTATTGAATTAGGATCGTTTAAAATTTGTTACAATAAAATGTTCGAGTAATATAAATTAACATTACAACATTTGATGATTTATTTCTATCCGTTAAGTGTGTTATTTATAAATCCATTGATCGAATTTGATTTATTGAATCGGAATGATAATATTCTAATATGATTATTATAAATCACGATGAAATTTCAAATTCAAATTTAAAAAAAAAAAAAAAAAAAGAATCGAAAAGATAATCAGAGAATACACTGAAATCGATTGGAATATCGTGCTATTATAAACGATGGATATTTTCGTCAGAAAATTTCATCAGAAAATTGCCGATTTTCATTCATCTCCTTTGATGAAATGCATTTTGACCCTCAATAAATCTCAACAAAACGCTATCAAAAAAGAGATAATTTACGATAGTTGAATCGTAAAATATTTCAGATATTCGTTTTTGAAAAGCGCAATCTCTGACAGAGCAAATTGATTGAATTTTCTCAATTTTCTCGTTGAAGAAAAGTAAAGAAAAATAAAGAAGCATAATTAATTTGATACGCTATTTAAAGATAACGTATTAATTTTTTAATCTTTTCTTTGATTCTTTCTTTCTTTTTTCTTTTTTAATTGTATCGCAACGAAATACATCCACTATAGAAAAAAGTATTTCCTTCCCCGTAACATTGTAAACTCGCTCCACAATAATGATGACTTTAGAATTTTTCAAAGAAGACGAGAACGACGAGGGGGATGGTAACCCATGGAATTGAAAGAGGGGCTTAAAAACCGGTTTTCTATTCGGTCGTGGAAACCATCGTCCGACGACGATAATTTTATTTTCCCAACGTCGTTGACGTCTTCCCATTCATTTTCGCGGCAAGTGGGAAGGAATTGACGTGCAAAACGGAAAGCTATGGTATGCCTCTACGAATGCAACTTTGAATATGAGTTGGAAACAATTGGCTCCTTTAATGAGATTGGCCGTAGATGTGTACGTGTACACACGTGAACCAGATACGTTTGTGCACACGCGATTCTTGCCAATAGTCGAGGGAAACGTTATTAACCTGATTGGCGGCGCAAAAATACCCTTGCAGCTCCCCGTTGACACTAGTCTGGTCATTGCACTCGGAGCTAATTAACTAAAACTACGGATAGGAACTACAAATAGGATTTCTTTAAAATATGTATATACGGCATTGCATATGCATACGTGCATACTGATCGTATGTAGACGCGTTTTAGCGGATAATTTTAAATAAAAAACGTACTTCTACTTTCCTTTCGGAGGTTGTTTCATAAATTTGTCCAAAGTTCAAACTACATCCTGAATAAACGATTATGACGAGCAGACGCGACGATGCAGGTAGTTGACGATAATCTCTTCGGTGACGGTTTTGGATTAGACTGGTAAAAGCTTCTCTTGTTTAATGTAATATGTACTGCATGTAACGAGATGGCGTTGAAATTATAATATTATCTACTGCTAACGTAGTTGCATTCGTTATCATTAATGTGTTTCCTGATTAATCTGTTTCTCCCTCCCTCTCTCTCTCTCTCAAATGTATCTAAGATATCTTTTGCATCTCCCTTATAATTTTTTGACATTTGGTATAAATCTTTTTGTAAAATTTTTAATACACAGATTTTTTATGAATATACCAATATCTTTCGTAAAACGTTACTTAATTTTTCGATCAAATGTAAGAAATATCTCAAAATCTTTTTATTTTAAAACACGTGCAATGTAAAGATTATTATATCAAGTTTAATTATTATTAATTGCAAATTAAATTATGATTCAGAGAAAAGAATGAATTACATGGAAATTGCACGAATCGTAATATATAAAATATTACTATTACATGGGAAACAAGGTACTGAAAATTACATGAAATTTGCGTTTCAAATAATAATAAACGGAATTCCGTATCTCTTCCTGTTATAATTTAAAGGACTCGTACTTCAATTATATATAACGTTATTTTAATCAGAATAATAAGAGTAATGTTAAAAAAAAAAAAAATCGAAAACGAGGACAAGTTAAACAGATTTAATGATGCATCGAAATAGAGTATGCAATTCAGCAAAATGAATATTAATAAAATGATAATATCATTCATATATCAATCAGATTTCTTTCATTAACTTTCAATGATCCAACTTTGAATTTGCATAAAATTCAACATCATTGAATATTAATTTTAATTAACATACACCACTTAATATTATAATCGTATGTACAAATATGAATAATCCTTCGATTATTTGGATCAGATGTTCGAGATATAGGTACAATTATGATTATACTAACTATCATTGTGCGAATCTACCAGTTAAAGGTTATTTAATAGTATCTACATTTCCTCTTAATTATCATGATACATTAGTAAACCTAATTTATTGATATGTACAAATGGCTTTCCCATTCACAGATCATTCGTAATAGAAACTCACACTATATGATAACATGTATCATATAGAATTGAATGAAATATTAAAAATTTAATATCCACATAGATAATTTATACATTTTTTAAAGATTCTTTTTCCAAAAATACTTGAAACGATTTTATTATTATCCATAATTAGTATCTTATACGAAGAAAAGATAAAACATAAAAATTAAACGTCTGGCAAATTAAAAGAATAATTATTGTTATCTATTGTTATCTATTGATCTCTATCATAAGCTGATTTCAGATTTCAACAAGAAGAAAAAGAAAAGACATTTTAAATTTGGTTAATTTTGTCATTAAGTTTTGGATTCGAATTTTACAAATCTAAAAATCAGATTTCGATTTATCTTTAACTCTCTCCTTAAATTAATTCGCAGATTTAATCACGCGAATTACGCAATACCGGATGTGGGTGTACAATACGAGCGAAACAGGTCCATCAAATGAAGAATGAATAAAGCTACAGTGATAAATATTTGTTTTTCGGCTGTGCAATGTTTATTGTAAAACTTTACGTTGTAAAAACGATGCTTCGATCGCGGAAAATAAAAGAAAATGTAAAATTTACCAAACGCAAACGACTTGAGAAAATAAAACACGACGAAGCTTTTGGGTAAAAATTATCGCGATGCTTTTGTTCTTCTTTACGTTTTATCGACGATTAAATTGTCCTTATAATTACAATCGTGCAGGATCGTTAAGTTTATTAACCGTTGCCCAACAGCTTAGCAAAGGAGGTGTATATATTGCGAAAAATAAACGGAGAACCGTAACAAAAACAGGACACGTAAATTCCCTCCCAATAAGGCTGTTCCAAATCCGACATTTCGGATCAAATAGAGCGGAATGACAAACGATTATAAAAGGTAAAAACGATAAATATGAGGATTACTTTTTTCCTTCCTCTGCTTTATCCAAAATACGTTGTTCGTTGTAATGTTACTTTTGATATACTATAAATCGTAGTAAATATATTTACAATAGAACGATCATCTAAATTTCGATTATGCAAATGCGAATTTCTACATTTCGTAACAAAAACGATTAATTTATGTTTTTACAATGTATTTCGTTCATCTATATAATCTTCCTTTATGTAATAACATTCTTATTCGAAAATTCTTTCTTTCTAGTTATGTCACATGCTATATATAAATTTTTCTAATCGATTATCAAAAACCGCCTATCTCTATAAATGGATTCTTCTCTTCTGATTAATTCGGAATAATCGATGTTTCACCGTATTTACTAGTTGAAATATCCATAAGTAGAAATACAATGCGCCCTTTTTACATGAAAGAGAGGCAAGGAGCTCGTATTCATTCATACCGTGGAAGAGTAAAATTTTTTACAATCTTCCATTTAGCATTCTCGAGTAAAACGAAAGCATGGAAAGGGGAATAAATCCGCTGGTTAATAGATAACCGGGTCGTCGCCCTCGAGAGGTCGACAAGGCTTTTGGCAAAGAACGAGCGAAGAAGAAACGAAGGTGGGGGGGAGGGGGTGTATTCGTCTTTCCGAGGTGCCTACGTCTAGCAAAGAAGCTGTGCAACGTGTGCAACGTGTTATAAAAAAAAGTAGAACGAGGTCAAGGCGGTTCGTCGTTCTTTTTTTCTTTTCTTTTCTTTTTTTTTTTTTTTCTTTTTTCTATCTAAAGAAAATTTGCCTCGAGTCAAACTAACTTCCTCCCCCCTCTTTTTTTTTATCGTTGTTGTCGAGAAAATTATCTAACTTCATAATTTATCGCGTCTTTGAGTTCTCTTCACAGAAAAACATTTTCGGATGAATAACGGTTGTTTGATGTGATGTGATCATAGTTGCTGTTGTTCTACTGGAGATAGAAACAATGCACTTAAAAAAAAGCGATTTCAGTTTGTAATCGCTGTATTTGTAATTGTAAACAGTTATAATATACCGTAAGAGAAATTAATTATTCCCTCTTTGGAGAGTTTTAAAGTTCATTTGCAAAACTAGTATCTAAAACTTTATAATTTTAATAACGTTGACCTCTATGACTCACCTCACACGCTTCTTTTCTTTGTTCTTTTCGCCAATTCCATGTTTATTGTCCATGTTTTTCCCCAAAATTTTGGAATCTCCTTTGAATTCCATGCGATTTCGTTAAGAGTAAATATAATGTCTTTCCAACATAACGATTCTTCGAATATTTTTCATCTTCCATATAGTATAATCTTCTTCGATTAAAGATTCGGATACGGAAGAATCCCAACGAGAATTTTATCCTTTTTCATGCATATTTCGAACACTCGATCTGTTCATTCAATTTCCATACAAATATTTATATATAGATTCTTGTCAAAGCAACTCGATCGACGATTATTTTCGAAAACGTTGTTCACTTCATCACAAAGAAACGACGCCTCTTCAAATTCCAAGTATTCATTGTCGAGCGATGCGTTGAGCCGATGATCACAAAAATTGAAAGAACGATCGCCTCTTCCCGTTGTCCTCGAAAATGTCGAGTTTCTCTTCTCCATCCTTCTTTTCCACGGTGAAACAACGTCCATTCCCAAATAATTATCGGATCAACGCCAATCGATCTCGACGAATCTCCAAATCTTTTGATCGAAAAATTTCACTCGCGCGATGACACGCAACAGCGTGTACATAACGTAGAAATAAAAACCAATGCGTGTTACCAAAAAAAAAAAAAAAAAACACGATTCAATGTGGAAATTCCTCGGCTAAATCTCTCATCGAACACACATAGTTCCACGGATTTTCATTGTTGCTCTTTTTTTTTTTTTTTTACCGCCATACAGAAATCGCGGATTAGTCCGACACAATCTTTTTCCACTTTGAATGCTCGTCCTAAAAAGTGGAAAATAAAAAGCTGCACTTTATTGCTCTGCGGGAGAATCTCACTCGTTGCCACGGGATCACCAACGCTTGTGCTACACGGACTTAACTCTGTTCTCGTTTTTCCTTTTTAAATTTCACTAGTTCGCGTAGCATTGATTATCCTTTGTAACAAACTTGATATAAATATATTCGATCGATAATCCTCCAAATTTTGCAAGTATGCGATTTACTTGCGTACTTTCGTCGAGGAGAACTGCACCTATTTTTTCAAACAACAAGATAAGCAAGATGGAAGTTATAAATTCGTGAGAAAACAGTACACAATTTTCTCTCGAAATAAAAGGATCCCTTTAAATAAGACATATTTAAAATATTTCGGAGAAACGAGATATAAGCAGAGAGAGACAGACAAAAAGAGGTAACTTTACGATGGAGAGAAATATCGCGAGATTTTCAAAGCTCGGTCATTAGTCTAGTTGTTTGAGTCTAACATTTCACGGTATATACAAGAGGGGAAGAAAGAGAGAAAGAGAGAAAGAAAGAGAGCGAATATACGAGAATATATGAAAAAAGAAGAAAAATGAAAGTGAATTTTCCGCCAAGGCTTTCCCGCGTCGCCGAGCACGCGCGTTTTTCTTCCGCGTCTTTTCAACAACCCTTCGTTGTATAAATCACTAGTAGATTTATACATTTTCCTATCCCAACACACACCTCGAGCACCACGTCGATGGCACGGGCGCATTAGCGGAGAGACACGAGATATACGACAGAGGAAAATATGAGAACGTGAGAAAATGTGTGTACGAACACCTGATACCCGCGTAATTACATTTTTGACAAGGGATATTCGATTTTAATGGAAGATGGATAAAGAAAGAATCTGGTTATAAGAGGATCGAAGATGCTAGCACGAATGAATTTCGTATATGATCCATTTTCCATGAAGCAAGATTTCGTTCACGATACGATGATTTTACGATTAAGGTCGTGCCTTTTCTCGCTGTAACAAAAATGGAAACTATCGTCGTATATTCTTGTAAAAATCATATAGGTCGGAATGGAGGCTCTGTTTCGTAATTTATCTCGATATCCGCCATACAGTTTTATCAGAATGACTAGTGCTTTCCGATAACAAGGTATCGACCTGCTGGAAAATAAACGAAAAATTTTCCATCCCCGGTTGTCGCGTTTTCCCAGCTACAATTTTTCAATTCGATTATTATTTCACGTTGGAATACAACGTTTCCGGTTAAACTTCGCGAACATAAGAAAGGAAGAACGATGGTCTTTTCCACGAGACTTTTCTACTTTATTTTTAAAAATATCGAGGGACGTAGATTTCTCGAAGGGAAGAATTACGAAGTTTCTTATCTTAGAGAATATCTGATGTTTTTTCTTTCTTTTTTTTTTTTTTTCGTACATCGTAACGGAGGAATATTAAAAAGGGAAGCTAGAAATAAAAAATAGAAAATTTTATCGCGCTTTCAACGCCGTCCATCAATTTAATGTTTGCCGTATCGTATTATGATGGAGAAGCGTGTGCTCGAGGAAAGTGAAAAACATCAAATTAAGTTGCCAAGTTGGAACAAAAATTAAATCTCGCTTACTCGAATATTTTGATCAACTTACCCCCCGGGGATGATATCCCGGGAAAGAGAGTTATCGATCAAAATAAGCTTGATATTCCCTGACTTCGAGTCGAACACCAAAGCGAATAAAATCGAAATGCAAAAAAAAAGCGAGTTTTCGTCTATGAACACGTTATGCGCATCAACTGTAAAATAGTTTATGTAACAGAATTTCGTTCAGGCGACGAATAACGTCGAACATTGTTCCATATCCGAAACGAAATTGATTTTATCGAAGCGTCTCGGAATTTTTCCTCCAAATATGGAGCATGGAATATGTTTTGCATCGCGATACCTATATCAGAAACTCGATGCCGTGATACAACCGCAAACTATTCGAAATATTCTGGCCAATCACCGGGATGAAACACAAAGGGAAAGATACGGTATAAATTCGAGAATAATATTCGCAAGCGAGCGACGTAACCGCGAGCGACAATTCTTGAGGAGATACGCGAGGAATGAAATAGTTGAAAAATTTTATAATCACCTTACTGGTAAGATTAATCCGCGAAATAAGAGATAGAGAAAGAGAGAGAGAAAGAGAGAACACTATCATCAAGTGTAGAAGGAAGATAATTTTGGAAAGAAAATGGAGGTTAGAGAATTACGAGGGAACGAGATGGAAGATCTGCAGTATCGATCATATTATTAAAATTAATCACTTGAGGCGAAGTAGATGAATTATGAAGACGATTGGATTAACTGGAAAATAGTTGAAAACGTCGAAGAATATAAAATGAAGACGATGAAAATATTTGAAATTCCTTGTTGGTCAAGTTGATCGATTCACCGAGTGAATTAAGATCCGTGTGCTAATTACTACGAGTCCATCGAGTCAATTTACTGATCAAAGTGATGTGTCATGTATCTCGGCATACCGAATGTCGACAACTCGCTCAAAGGGAACAATTTGGGGATGCTGGGATTGTTTAAGATCGTCACTGTTACGTGGAATAAATGAAAAATGTAAAAGTAAAATCGATCTAGTGATCACAATTGGACGATCGAATTTATAAATTGTAAAGAACAGATAGAGTGGAATGATTTTAAAGAAACGTGCAATGAAAATTGAACGACAATTAGATTTCGATAGAACAATTTTCCGGTGTTACAATTAGCTAAGAGTGGAAAAATAATAATTGTATAGAACTTACGGCTCGTAATGCTTTTAACCTTTCATTCTTACGTTAGCCTGTACACAGGGATACGTTGGAGTAGACTCGACAAGAGTAGAGGATTGCTCTTGAGGCAGAGAAGTGACACAGAGTAAAAGAATGATGGAAGAAGGGGAGAACATAAAGGAGAATATTTCAGTGTTATGCATGTTGGAATGCATTGTAGTAAACCACAACACTGATTAATATGCTCGTGCGACGAGAGAGGGAAATCACAATAGGGAAACGTAGGTGGCATATACGTGTAAGATTTCATAAGATGAAATCAAATTGCGGGAGAAAAATAATCAATTTTACGATCAGACGATGATATTACGTTGTAAAAAAAAAAAAAAAAAAAAAAAACGAAATACTTGGTAGAGATTGTGATCAGATAAAAATATTATCTCTGTATTTTTTGTCTGCTTATACGTTATAGATTGCACTAGGAATTATGCAAAGCAAACAATCGAAAGAAAAAACAAAAAGAACGTGGTGTTATTTCAACGGTACGTCTATAAACACGCATCATTGCGTATGTTTAAAGAGAGATTTAGTTTCAACGCGACAAATTGCAAACTATAAATAACGCTATATACATGTACCCACTGAAATTGAAGTACCGCAAAAACCGCATTCGGTCTAGTTGGAACGTTACTAATGACTTTAGTGTCGTATACCGTGTGGCATTGTTAAAAGTATCGCATAAAGTTTTTGTCGTATAATGTCACGGTACAATTGGAAGATACACGTACGATTTTTCCGTGCACGTACCGTACTAAATGCGAAATCGTATAACGTATATGTCGGTAAAATGAAAATTATTCCGTTTCCGAGTATAATCGAAACATTCGAAAATAATATTCCGTAGAAAATGTTCGTTGTTCGAAGAAATGGATCGAAAAGGTAAGTAAAAAAGTAAAACGTTAAAATCAGCAACGAACGTCAGACACACTAGGAAGAAAGCAAGGTGCACGGGGTCATTGTCCTCAAAAAGGCGCGTAGCGGTAGCGTCATATTTCTGCGAGAACCTGTGACACGGAAATGTGAAAATGGAAAATCCTGGTGAACAACGAAAACGTTACACCGAAAACGAGCACACCGATTATCCGAACGTAGAATAAATCACATATACCGATCAAATAATACGCGTGTGTACGAAAAATCGATAAATTCGGGTCCCGGGATGGCATTTACCGTTCGCTCGAGCATTTATCATCCATGCTCGGATGTGCGCGAGAGAAGAGGAGGCGAAGGAACAGTGGCAACGTCCCTGAGCATTGAAACGCCGTGTGCGGACCGGTGCGCGGTGTCACGTCACGCGTCACAACATTGCGTTTATCGTCTGGTCACACGCGAATCCATACGCAGCAGGGGTACGACGACGAAAGAACCGAAGGAACTGTCATATCGCGTTGTATCGTGTCACGCGCGTCACCAGCATTATATTTTTATCACACACCCACCACTCGGCCCGGTAAACGAGCACCATGGCCGATATGTATACGGCTCCTACGTGTTCGTTTGCCTGCGGACTTGGAGCGTGTCCTAAGAAGGGAGAGAAAGAAAGAGATAGAGAAAGAGAGAGAGAGAGAGAGAAAGAGAAAATATGTAGTTCGTATCACGCCACGTTTCTTTCAGGGCCGTACGACCGTTCCAAGATGTAAGAGGTGTCAGAAGGGGGTGCTCGACGAGAGGGGTGTGAAGAGAACGCGTGAGATCCGCGTGTGTCTTTTGGGCTACCGGTCCCAAC